AAGCCCTTAGTCAAATGGAATACATTAAAGAAAATTCCCTGTGTCATAGAAATGAAAACTAGAAGCCAAATGACAGTGCTCTCATTATCTGCAAACTAAGAGCTCCAGTGGGACATATTCATAGAGAAAATTACAGACCAGACAAAATTATTTTCCAATAATGCACAGTTTGACAGTGACTCGTAAATATTTGCGTTAATTTAAGGTTATAATTTGCAAATTGAGCAGCCTTTGGTAGTTATCTTTTTTTGTGCCATTTTGTAAGGGTAAATGTCAGGATAAATGTTTATATGAAAATCATTTTAACTTAAGCTACCTGTACTTTCTCCAATCTTTACAAGAGAAATATAAGATGGCACACTGTGTGTGTGTAGGTGGTAGGATTGTGACAATTGACAATAACGTGTATCATGTTGGAATACTCGGTTTCGGATTTTAGGCCACGTTTACACAAAGCGAAACGAATATTTTCCCCCTCTCCGTTTTCAAAAATAACATCGTTCACACACCCGCATAAGTACGCCGTCGAGCGCAATCACAACTATGCCAAACCTATTGGTGGATAAAGGATAAAGCCATGCAAGCCAATCAGAATCCTCAGAATCGACAAGAGAGAACCTAAAAGCCGTTTCTCCCAGTTCACACGACAACACATAACCGGCGTTTTCAGAAATCTCCCCTTTGGGCGGAGTTTTTAGAAATAATCGTTTTCTGTGATAAAAATGTGGTTTTCGTGTAAACGAGAGGCCAAACCGCAGGGAAATATCTGTGTTTCCCCTTTTCTTTATTTAACATCACAACAGACATAATAAAATAGAAAACTCAGAATGAGATACACAAATGATAGGCTATGTTTTTAGCTCACTAGCAGGAAATAACCTGATTTATTAATACTATTACAAACAATCCATCTTTACTAGAAAGATTGTCATTTTCTATGATTATAAAATGAAGTAAATAATTAAATAAATGAGTAAAGAAACAAGTAAACAAATGAATGATGAAATAAGAGTGTTAGGCTCTGATACAGAGCAGCCACTTCAGGTTGTTGCTACAGCAGCCTTTGATTTCTATCAACTCTACGACTTGGCTAAAAAGAAAACAAAAATATATCAATCATGCAGCACAACTCCTCAGATGTTAAACAGCTCTATTGAAAAGTAATTAGTTTTTCAATAGTGTTAAAATGCAAATATTAGCCTCAGTCCATTCATGAAAGTCAGCACTTTTGAAAAGCTGCTTTGTGGCTGGTTTTGTGCAATCTCTCAGCATGAATTCGGCATGAATAAACTATTTGATTAAAGTCGAATGTCACCATTTGTCTGAGACAACACTGTATTGGCAGGAGCCTTTTCCCCTCGGCTTTCATCGAGATGCACATTTAAATATGAGAGGAGGCATATTGTAGCTGACAGCACACTCAAATCTCACTGAAATGTCAATGCTAAGCCACTTGAGGAATGGCACCGCTTTGAGAGAAGGCTGATGAACCAAAATGTCTTCCATCACTTCCTGAGCTCTGCAATATCATGCAGAAATATGCAGGAAAAGGTCAGAATTATATATCAAAACATAAATAAAGTGGTGTCACTTTATAGAATAATGAAAGCTTGAGTAATGCTGCAATGGGACAATCTTCAGATAAAAGCCATTATGATTTTCAAACCAAAATTTGGTTATCTTTCTGCAACTGTGTAATTGTTTGATTTTCCTTATTAGAAACAGCTCTCGTCATTCTGTAAAATATCACATGATGAAAAGAAAGGTCTTTTACGGCGGTTGCATTAGTGAGGACGTCTCTCTGAATTAGTGTCATGCCACATCACTGATGAACAAGCCATTTGAATTATATCTTTTCTACATGTAGTCCGTACAACAATTTAATTTCAATAATCCTTTTAGTGATGCGTGAGGTCAATCTTACAAATGTGAGCCTGTTTTTTACTAAAACTGGCTGAATTGAAAGCTGGAGAGATCAAATCTAATACCGAGGGGGGGGATCAGACCAAAATGAGTGTGAACATGGAGAAATTGAGAAGCAAGGTGACAGAAATGGCTGATATAGCAATGACTAGGTTGGAGCCGTTAGATTAAAGTCTAAAGGTAGTGATGGCAAAGACCAAAAATTCTAGCAATTACTAGAAGCCAGCACAGATAGACCTGAGCAGAAGTGTAATATGAGAGAATTTCCAGAGGTTAAATACAAGGGACAATTTTTTTTATATGCTCAAGGGACCAAGAGCTTGTGGTGATAAGCATTTATTATGAAACGCTAGAGAGATTTCCTTTAAAATTTCAGATGTTGAGACCGAGAATGAGACAGCAGTACGAGGTTTTCTGGTGTAAATAGAGAAGAGGGGCCAACTACCACCCCGCTAGTGATTGCACAAAGGGTGAAAAGGTAGATGTCTTCTACTGACGTGGGCATTAATTTCCCAAGTTTGGACAACAAAGGCACAATACAAAGACAATAGCACTCTCTACAGCTCATACTTCAGCTTAAAGAACGCCTGGATAGGTGTTAATGTGGGTTAGGCCACAGAGGGTCAAGTTTTTGCCATAGAGAAGGTCATCACCCATGGCAATATAAAAGCTTTTAACAAATGGATCTGTCCAGCTTCCTGCACTTCAAATTGCAGGGTAAAGCATCGGTCTCTCCAGTGCTCGCCGGTTCTCTCCAGCCCGTAGCACGTTTGCTGTCTGCCTGCGATGGCTGTTACGGGTCTAATCAGCCCAACAGCCTCAGAGAGTGAGAGAGAGAGAGAGAAGCCCATGGCCAGCCTGAGTAGAAATCAATTACGGAGGATTGAGCTCTTGTATAAAGAACACTAATGGCAATAGCCGGAAATAAAAGAATGATTACAGACATCATAAAAACTGTTATTGGCATAATCAGTATATCTACGTATGTAATGTCTGCCGCCAATTTATGGCTAACAGCTCAGAAATTGATCGGTCTCAATGCACTGGCAGAAAAGCGAGTGGGCTTCAAGGCTGGACAATAGCAATGTATGTTGCTTGACAACACGGGGGCCTGATAACCTAGCAATAAGAGTATTATATAAACTTATAATAATTTATATACACATAACTGTTAAATCAGGCATGTTGCAACAAGGAACTATTTCTATTATAAACACCACAGACATGTTATAAGTATACACTGATAAAAATGATGTGGTGAAGTAAATAGAAAAAAACAATGCAATTTACATGAAAAAGTTAGTTCAGGCAAGAATAATAATAAAAAAAGTAAATTCTATAGTAGAACTCAATTCAATCGTGTAGAAATGAAAGCTTAAATATCAACATTATAAAATTAAGTAAAATTACTCAACTTTTCTGATACTGGTGTTCCCATCATGCACTGGGCCATGAATAATTAATGAGGTTTATTTTTCACTGTTCTCCAGCTGTATTTACACTATTTTATCATTACTTTTGTTGTCAGGATTAGAAAGGATTTTGCCATTTTGTGATATCTGGAGTTCATTTACTACTTAAAATGACACATTCAAACACAAAAACTATCAAATGTTACCGTCATTGTGTATTGTCTACCAAGTATTGAGGTCTGCGTTCACACATTCAAATATCTAAAGTGATGAGATACACTGCAAGAATTGATTACTTAAATATTTCTGAGTAAATCATATACTTTAAAAGTTATATTGTTTGAGTGAAATGTTGTACTAAGAAAAATTCAATTATATATAAAAGATATTACTTAACCTTTAATTAGCTAAATAAAATCTACTTAATTTCTTCTGTAACTTTCACTGAACTTAATTATATGTGTGAAATTTACTCCAAAAATATCAGTGCAAAAACTTGCCTTGAAAAAATTAAGTAAATTTTACTCATTGTTTTTTTTTTACAGTGTAGAGTAATACTGAAGCAGGAATGAAGGCAGGTGTGACCAGTGCAAGTTGTTTGTCAGTCATCTGTTACTGCAATAATAACTGGCTGGTGTCCTAGGGTGAAATTATATGTGTCAATATTTTTTTTTTTTTTACTCGGGGCCCTTGGGAAACCAAAGAGTGGAGATATATTGTGACAGTGACCCTCCAAAATGGATAACAGCCCTTGCTCTAACCTTGGGAATCTATCAGAGGGAGTCAGCATTTTTAAAAGTGCCTCCCAGATATGGCTCTGAATAATGTATCCTATGAATAAAACACATTAGTGACAAAACATACTGAATAATTCACTTTTCATTCCCTGCACGCCAGATATTAGGTCCTCTGTCACTCAGCGGACTCTCATTGGATTGTCCCACTCCACTCGTTATTTTCACCTCTTAAATACTGTAAACGGCCTCTCGCTGACTCTCTCTGAACCTGTAGTAAAGCTCTTCTTTTTCTTGTCTTGAAAACACACACACACACATGTACACACTAGCACAAGCAAAACTGATAATAATGAAATAATTCCTAATAGTGCAGGCCAGCTATGAGTTTCAAACAACCATGTATAAATGTAGAAATGACATTTTTCTAATTAAACACTTAGTCCTGCCCATTAAAAGACTTACAGCTCACCTCCTCAAAGAAAACCAGATTTTTGAAGAGCCTTTTTCATCTGTCTCTCTCCACTCCTATCTCTTATTCTTTTCTTGTTCTCATTTCAATGCTAATGACAGACAGCATTTTGTTCACAAAGACCTAATGAAGGCTTCCCTCAAAGCTGAACTAGATAACTGAAACATCCAATGGCCCGGCACAGGAAATGGATACCACTTGCATTGACACAAATTTGACGTTAACTGAGATTTCAGTTGCAATACTTCTTATTAGCAGTTCTAATGACTTAGTCAGGTACTTTTGAGAATCTCAGTTCCTAACGGTGGTAGATTTCACAGATCCACCCCACATCCTCAAAACTAATCTGGCACCATGCATTTCAAATGTGAAGCACATAAATAAGTGAAATAAAATTAGATGAAGCCACAACAAGTAGTAAATACACTGTAGGCGAAATCATAAGATTCATTCACTCACCAGGGTGCAGTAGGTCTCTGGTGGGTCTCCACAGGTGATGTTGGGTGGGTCAAGAGTGACTTTTAGGTACTTGGTCATGTCCGCGGCTTCGGGCTGACAGGCCATGTAATACCAGGTCGGGCCTTCGTCCGTGTAGCCATGTGACTTGCACAAGTCATAGTGTCCCCAGGTTGTGGGATAGTGTTGCGTGCCCTGACACACAGTCAGCCATAATGCCTGCAGTGTCAAGAGCAGCGGGAAATGCATGGCTGCTTCCTTTATTCGGGCCGCCCCTCTAATAGACTATTCACTGTGATGTAAAGTATCCGTCTGCTCCCTCCTCTCAAAAACGCATGAGCGAAAGAGAGATAGAGAAAGGGGGGGTGGAGAGGGAGCTCTAGGTCTGGTTTAGAAAATAATCCAACTTTTGATGAGCGTAGGCCAGAAGGACTGCGGCAGCATGCCAGCTTCCCTTTGGTCACGGTAAGGTCGTCAAGTCTGATGCTTCAATCTCCACCTCTGGTCTTTATTGTGTCCACTGGGAAGGGGCAGGATGGCAGGCAGTGCCAGCAGAGATAAGAGAAGTGGAGGCAGAGAAGACTAAATGATCAGTCAGGGTTGGAGAGAGAGTAAGGCTTCTGAAACTCTGGCTAGATGTTGACTGACAGCCGTCTCAGCTTTGCCTTCTGTCAATCATCCTCTATAGCAGCTTGGCCTCTGTACTCTGCACAAAAAAATGAGAGAGGTGATGGTTAGGGGATAGAGTTTGACAGCAAGAGGAAATTAGTGCTCTGATTCCTCTGAGGTGGTGCCATTCAGGTGTCTGGTGTGCGTCACAGAGAAATTTCGTACATGGAAAATGTGGTCTTGAAAGCTTTCATACATTCATTCCTGGCTTTAGCCATAATCCCATGGCATGCAGGCCCTTTCTCTTCCGTCATGCCTACACTTAAAATGCACTTTTGATACCGTGTATAGATCAACAGCTACGTGTAACACTAAACAAAATTACAGGATGTAGAGGGTTCAGGTCAGAAATCAGAGATTACGTGCAAAGCTGATAATTGCTTCTGATGCCTTTTGTATGAGAGTTGATGAAATGCTGAATAGGAGGCAGACTCACGAGGTTACCATCACAAAAGTTACTATAGAAACACATGTCATCTTCTGCTCAGCAGCAAGCTGAAGTCACTTCGGAGCCTCTGAACGGGCCCTGTAAACTGCTTGTGTACCTCTCTTACACAACATTAAATGCTTTTTCTCTGTTATTATTAAAATAAGCTCAACATCTAAATATTTCACGGCACATAGAAACCAGAACGACCTGGATAATCCAACGCATTCTTGACTGACAAGTTTACTCACATAGCCGTAGAAGCAGGATTGATCTGAACATGAAAGTAGCCCTATTAGGTTGAACTAATGATTTTTACACCAGCAAGAGAGTTGTACAGTTCTAACCATTATGTACCATACTTTACAAAAGCTGACAATGAAATTATTGATGGATTGTTATGGTCGCACATTCCCTCCTCTTCACTCATGATCCTACAATGATTTCATTGAATATATTTTAATCAAAGACAAGTTCTCTATTCATCCAGAATCATCCAGTGACTCATTCACTCAGGCATGTGTGGGGTCTTTGAAATGTTAAGTCTGAAAATACAAAGCTGCAACAAGTAATGGAACTTGCAGAAAAACTCCACTTCAACAAAATTCTTGTGCTTCAGAAGTTCAGAACAGTAAAACGATGTACTGAAATAAAATCAAAATACAAGAGAAATACTAGAAGGATGAGAAACAAAGCAAGAAAAGAAGCCATGACTATGGTTGCATGAGATCTTTGTACAACTGAGCAGTTTTTTAATAAAAAAATGAATCACAAAAAAAAGAGAGAGTATAATTAAGTTCGCTTGAGTAAAAACAATAGGATACTATTTAGATATTTTATATGGGGGAAGGGGGATTGGTTTTTTAAACTATGAATGTGAAACCATAGTAAAAACAATTGGCATTGATTGAAGCCAATCGGACTTTCATGTTTTTTTTTTTTTTCCCGTCTATTTGAAAGTTAGGCTAATAAACATGTTGCATTCAATACGGCCTGATTATGTCCTTTTTTAAGTTACATAGCCTGCCTCCAGTTTTCCTCAACTTGACCAATTAAGAGGTTATATTTGACCGGCATATCAAACATAAACACTTTGACCGGCACAATTTTTTCTAGCGGAAACTCTGCTACACTCTAAAAAATGCTGGGTTGTTTTAACCCAATTTTGGGTCAAATATGGACAAACCCGAAATGTTGGGTTAAAAATGTAATGTAAAAATTTAACCCAACGGCTGGGTTAGTCCATATTTGACCCAAAGTTGGGTTAAAACAACCCAGCATTTTTTAGAGTGTACTGGTAAATGAAAGTAGTAAAGATACAGTCAAGGTACCCTAGTTAGTACACAACAATCAAAATGTAGCTAGCTACATTTAAACTTCATTGATTTGTTTGTTTTTTACAATGACTTTTTTTTACAATGACATTGTATATTACAAATAACTTAATAATTTTTAATGAAGAATGAAGAATTTAGGTAGGCTCACACTGTGCTTTGCTCTGAAACACGATGTTACTCCCCAACAGCACTACTACAGTACATTTTATATGTTTACATGCATAATCTTGATTACGATTAATAAACTGACAAAGTTTAAGGTAATTTAAACACCTTAAATGATTAGTTCACTCCAGAATTAAAATGCAAAATAAATGTTGAAAAAAAATAATATATATATATATATAATTAAAATTTTATTTAATAGATTATACATCTTTAATATATTATCAATATATTTAATTGGAATATATGGTTGCTGATGAAAAAAAGGGATTTGTTGATTTGTATCTAATCCCTTAAAACAGGGTTTTATAAATCAGCCGATTTCTGATAGTTATCAGTGTTGTATGCATATTTAAATGCACATCAGAAGATTCAGTTTTTTAGACTATCAATATACTTGTCAGGCAGTGTAACAATTTCTCCAATATTATATTATTGTTTGTTAGATTCAATCAGTTCGTAACCCTTGCAAAGAGCGATCAATACGGAGCAGTTAGAGTCGCCCATGTTCGTTTCGCAAACGCACGGTTTCTGCACAGCCCAGCTACAAAATGAAGAGGGAGCAAAGGTTGCCAGTTCCCCCTGATGGAGGCTGGCAGGGGGATAATTGACGACGACTTACCAAACGTTCTAAAAGCGGGGGCCAGGAGCATTTTAGTGCTTGTTAATCAGTCTGTCCAGTCAATACAGATGCTGACCCCACACTCATCCCGTCACCAGTCCCACAGTGATCAATTAACCTTGTGAGCCCCAAACGAGTTGAGGCGGTGAGTCAGATTACAGCGCAGTCTCGCAGTGGACCACCCTCAGATAGGAGCTCTTTTCTCACCAGAGCAGAGCTCATCCACATTGTAGTGCAGAAATGATCATTTGCACAATCACTGTCACTGTAAAATCAAAGACTTGAGTAATCTCCATTTAGAAAAACACGGAGCATGAAATCACATCTCAATCTGACTGTTCACCAAAGCTGCCTAAACAAAAGGGTGTTTGGTGCCAAAGATCTGGATCAAAGAGTTCATCACAAATGAACTTGAGCAGATCAGAGATGTACTTAAACGTTGAAAATCACAGATTAGTCATATTGGCTGTTATGAAAGCCGGACCAAAACCGTGCCTTCAAATATGCATTAGGAGGGAAAAAAAGAAAAACAACACTGAATGAAAGAACATCATTGCGTCTATTTTTTTTCTTAGACATTTAACCTAAGGATTAATCCAAATGAATACAAACAGAATTGGAAAAGGACAGTTTTAATACATTTTAGAGTATGGCCATGCCATATTAAAACTCATCACATCCATCACAATGACCACTATTCAGAACTATGGATGGAGGGTGTGATTAGATTTCTCCAGATTTAATAAGGACAGAGTAGTGAGGGAGAGAAAGAGACAGCAGAAAGAGAGAGAGAAAGACCAAGATACTTCTCAGCAGCTGTAATGTTGAGAACAGGGACCAAAAAAACGAAGAAAAAAAAAAAGCAAACTTTTGGCATGTAGCTCTCCATAGCATAGGCACAAAATCCAAACGTACAGGAACGAGGCACTGAGGGAGAAAGACGAGGGAGGAAAAGAGGACAGTGTAATGAGCCATTAGAGATACAGGGAGGATAAGTGTCTAGGGCACATTAAAGATCACACAAGCCCGCTTGTTATCACTTTCCATGATCCATATACGAGTCCTCTTAATTATTCTGCGCTGCCTCCGGTGATGTGGCTGGCGCAGAGTAGAGGATGCATTATGACACGGAGCGGGGTGATTTGAGGCAGGGGGACATGGGATTTAACATGGGACCCTGATGAGGAGATTCACAAACATTATCTCAAACATCATCACAACATCTCATTGTTTAATCCCACCATTACAGAGCAGTCAAATTCATATTCATTATCTGCTGGTTTAGCATGGGAGGGGAAAAAAATCCTGGTGACCATATTTACATATACATTTTTATAGGGATTTGGGGAAGGGGGGTGATTTTTTTAGCCAGTGAAATGAATGAAAGAAGCTAAAAAATACATACTGCTGTGAAAACAAACAGCTCCACTACTTTCTGAACTTCAGCCAGCTTTCCTGTCTTCCATTATTTGGACAAACTGATTAATCCAGGTGTGTCTGACCTCAGTAGACACAACAACAATAATCAGGCACATCAAGTTTGTCTAATAATGGCAGACAGAAAACAAGGAGCTGGCTAACGTTCAGGAAATAGTGTTGCTGTGCATGAAGCCTATTCAGCAAACAATTTAAGAGTGATTTTATAATTTTAAAAAAATGTTTTGCAAGAAATATTAGTGATTACTGGTGATTTTAGCTGTTCCAACAGGAAGAATGTGACACCAATGTTGATAAAATAATTACATATTATTTAGCAAACCTTGAAATATTCTAAGTGCATGCTGCATTCCATGGCCACATCTTTTTCTTTCATTTTTTTTTTAACTGTTTACTTCTTTAAAAAAAAATATGCAGGGACTTTTATAATTTTGTCACTAAATTGCTTATATTCACACTTTTTCTTTTTTCTTTCTTTACTCTGGATTAAAGTGTTTTTTTGTTTTATAAACTTTAGCCAAACTTTCAAAAAGACTTAATATAGCAAAATCTAATTTCTCTTCATATCGAATAACGAAATTAATTTGCTTTCCCCCCACAGGTGTGGCAGCAGTCAACAAACCAGAGCCAAATGACAAACATGCATCCCTTCACTCAGCTGAATATGTGTTTAAGAATGAGTTTCACCAGTAAGCTACTGTGCATGTTAATATTACATTTAAACTGATCATTCACTGATTTCATATGACCATAAAGGACTTGTACTGTGTTACGTGAACACACCCCTCCTTTTTCTGGTGTCCACTTCGATCTTGTCCCCTGGACCATTGAAGCATGCCTGCATGTCTAAGCCTCAGAGGTGCTCATAAAGGATGACCTGCTAAACTATACATGCCAGAATACACGTCTGCTTTTAATTTCATTAAATATCAAATTCTATAAACCAGCCTCCATCTTGTATCCCAAAATCCTTTTCTCGCCGCCACATTTCTCTTTCTGCCATTCACGTCTCGGCCTGTGATAGAGGGAGGTTCAGCGCTCGACGAGATCTGCACTCTTGGGATTTCAGCGCCCGCCTGCACGGGATCAGTGATTCTACCATAAACAGCCTGCCAATATGACAGGTCTCATAAATAAACATTCAGTGCAGCAGGGAGTGAGTATGTTTTCCCTAAACATGACAGCCCAACACATACACCCACAGAGTCTGATGATCTCTACTCTAATCCAGACTTAACCACCACAGCACAACCAGCCATGTCACCTCTTCTAATATTCAGGTATCAGAGATATTTCTTTCATCGTATAATGTGTGGCAATTGCAAGCAGAATGCATGATGATGGCTGCATGTGACTCAGTCTGTCAGTAGAAGGCAAAATCAAAGCACAGGTTTGTCTACATTTCATGAGAGCTATTGGACCTGGCAGACGTCCTATCCCATAATGCAATCTGATTTTCTGCAATAGACAGGTCCCTGGCCTCGGAAGAAAGGGATCTCCCTTAGCACAGCTGCTAAGCCTGGCTTGACTTCTCCCTCTCTTGCTCTTCATTCCCTCGTTCTTTCTCTCTCCTCGCCATGTTCTGTCACTTTCTGTTCATGTGTGAAGGCGCAGGACGCTTGACAGGGCGACTCTCGACTCTACCAATGCCATTTGTGTTGTGCAGCTTAGCTTCAGGGGTTTGTTTTTCAATCTCCGCACACAAAAGCCCCTATAAGGCTTGTGTTGTCACAGACCTTCTCCCCTACAATCCCCCTCTGCCCCCACCGAGCGCACACTTTGCTGCGACATCGGAACATGTTATGCATTATTAAATATACTTTTCCTAAAAGGCTGCTGTGGCATTCACTTTTCGTCGCGATATGTCAGACTGCTCAAAATATCCCACTGGAGAACGAGGCTTGAAATCATTATCTTGGAATGTTGAGAATAATTTTGCACTGAACTAAAGCTCAATGCACAAGTGCGTGCTATTATTTCCTCATTCCGTATACTTACATGAGTGATTCTGCTAAATCTGAGATGTCATAAACGCCTGATGATGATGATGATTGATACAATTCCCCCACTCACCATACCAATATTTTGCAACAAAGCATGACTCAAACACAACCTCTACCCGGTGCATTTTTGCTTAAATTAAGGCTAAATAAAAGTAGATTGTAAAGATAACATGCACTGATTATTTAAAAAAGAAAAAAAAAACAATTATGTTTTATGTCAGAATCTATCTAGTCATCCATCCATCTAGCAAAAACATTTTAAATGTATATGAATGTATATAGGCAGCATAACACATTTATGACAATTCTGTTTAAATAGGAATGCATGTCATCAGTCAAGTTCTATAAGCATTCCATTTCAACTAGTTCAGATTTAATCTAGTACACTGAAACTAACTTAAAATCCATAACAAACCACCTGAATCAGTTACGGGAGAACAAGGACACACAAATAAAAACTAAAGTTTTAATTATTCATTCAGTTTGAGGTTTCAAGTAAATTTAAATGCAAAATAAACTAGAAATTGACATTACACTAATCGCACTCCATGAGCATTTGCTAACCACTATCGAAACAGTAGTACTGTGTAAATGAGGTCCTATCGAGTTTGATCGAGTTTTCTATTGAACAAAGTTGCCTACTTCGACAAGTTAACACAAATTAAGGCATAGCAGGTATACCTCAGTTCTTATAAGAGTTTACCGTGCCTGACATGAACAATAAAAGCATGTCAACCGCAAGGGGGCGCTTCCATTCGCATTTTCTCAAAAGAAAAGTCCACTCTCCAAGGTGATGAAATCATATTCAGTTCGCATACATTTTCAACTTGTCACAAATATAACCTTTTCAAGGTTACAGTAGAGCTTGCAAGCATTATCAGGTTAAAATAATAGGCAATAAAATACAACTATTCTGAATGAAAGCTGTGAAAAGTTAAAGCTGCAGCTAAACAACATTCCTAAAATCCCATAAGTTAACAAATGTGTGGTAAACGGACAAATATTCTCACAAGCCAAACTAAACTTAACAAGGAAGGGGAATACTCACGTCATTGACATTCACTCTCGATAGGAAGGGTCCCGCGGAGGACTGGGTGTTCAACAAGTTCATGAATGACCACAGAGGATGGCTACTCTTAAAGACGGCTTGTTAATCTTAATGTGATGAGTTCGGGGAAAACGGAATCTCCCCCCACCTCCACCCTATCTAAACGGGCTGACTAAACAGCGACTGAAGGTGTCTGGAGGCACGTCAATCTTCCCTTAAGACGCGTGCCACATCTTTCTAGTGCGAGACGTTACTGAAGCATTCATTTTTCTGAACTTCAAAGGAAATGTTATCAGTGCCAACAAAATGACCATAAATTCAACCTCTGCGTGTGTCCCAAACAGTATAAACTCATCAATCCCTCAATTTTACCTCCTTCATCGTGTTTTCTTATGTGAGCATCATGGCAATCACATCAGAACAAATAACCGTCCTCACTAAACTTTGAATAGCCGAGTGTCCTTTCCTCCCGACGGCTTTTTTCAACCGCCCTATGTCCCAAAAAAAGAGATTCCCTTCTTGTTTGAGGGGATAACGAAAATTGTTCTTTTTGAGAGATTTTCACTATCTCCTCGACGTTTTGGTCGTGAGCGAGACACGTATCGCACCGATTAGACCCGCGCGCACCGAGTATATCCTCACGCGCATTTCCTTACGCGCATATTCCGCTAGTGTTCGGTAGGAAATGATGGCTGGGGAAGATTACGCACTTGGACACTCCACACACACACTCTGCTTTTACACATCCACTCAGCCCTCACTGTTTTCTGCTTATCCTCTCACTCTCTCTCTCTCTCTCTCGTCTCAGCAGTTTAAAACTCAGATGGGACTTCAGCAAAGACACAAACGGGACAGAAAACAGTCCCCTTTTTTATTCGAACAAATGGTGAAGGAGATGGTTTTACAGATAGTTACAAATTTGAGTCTGATGTTGGGATCTCTTCACTGTAAATACTAAGAAGGATATGCCATCCACTGGGTCCTAAAGGTAGCATATAGTACTGCCAGAGCTTCTATCTTTGATGATTGCAATTCATTATCTATTCAACAAAGAAAATTAAATGTAACCTATACCTAAAATCTTGCCGCTTTTCTATAAAAACTACTCACATAGCCAACTATTAAAAGTTTAAAATTGAGCTAAAAAATCTATATAAAAATTCCAAGGATGCAATGGAACATTGCTTTAACTCACACAGACCAGAAATAAATGAAAATTTTATTTATAGGCTATGGCAACGAAAAAACACTTACGACGCTATACGACGAAAAACACTTATATGGCAATAATAAGTGGAGAACGACTTGCTGTAGATTTTAGCTGTAACGCCTACAAAGTTGTCCAAAAAAAAATCTAATAAAGTTCAAAAAGAAATTAATTTAGTCAGAAAGAAACAATAAAAGCTAAAGTTATTACTATTTGGAGAAGGTAAAGTGATGTATTGCAAAATACTGATTCTTTTCAGGCGTATGTTCCAGTCTCCAAACTGTTGTAAAAAGTCCCCCCCTCAAAGCAACAACTGAATTTACGGTATCCAAGTTCAAGCACCCTATCAATATAAATAACCATAAATGCATTTAAAACTTGTACTGTATTATATTTATGAAAATACCATCTTCTAAAGTGTGTAAAATACTCCAGAAACGACCGATGCAAGTCAACTGGACCGTCACTGAGCAGTGAGTACTACAGATAAAAAGAAACAGCTAGTGATCATTATTCATCACATAAAGAGGCAATGAGTTCAAGCTCTGCTCATTTATGTAGGCTAGTTGCTGTCAGAAAGCGTTTTATGGAGATCCAATAAAGTAGATTATTGCCACTGGCAGTGCGTGACATACACATAACTTGATTGCTTTTATTTTTAACCTATGAGTAATATCTAAAGTAAGGTAACAGAAATTTTGCAACTTATACAATTTTTTTTACACCACCAGCAAGGTCCACTGCCAAAGCCATAAACAAAAAATAGACAGAAGTGCGCAAAAGCGCATGGTAGATTTTACGCACTGCAGGCGAAGGAGAATAAAAAACCATTCATTTAGGGTGGGAGGGGGATCCTTAAACAATAAAACTCGTTTTGTATTAGCGTTTTAAGTAGCCTAAATTGCATTTAAATTATGGCGTAAGAACGCCGACAAGCCATGGTAGCCTATTCCCATAAAACACCTTACGCACATCAAAAGTTTGGGCGAGAAGCTCCCATTACTCATGCATGCATTGAGATAAAAAGTCCTCATTGGCCTCACCTTCACTTAAAAGCTTCAATCCAAAGCGTCAATCCGAACAGCGCGATGAGATCTCATGTTGCACAACGATATTTGACGGCTTTCAATCGGGACATCTTGGAGACGCGCAGGTGCGGAGCTGAACTCAGAAGCGACCACTCCTGTCCTCGGCTCCGGGAGAATGGTGGTCTAATCGAAGGCACAAATGGCACTTCAGCGAGTCAAACAACTCAGCAAACAAATTCGACGGCGGAGAAACACTTTTCCGGCTTAGTGTTAGGTTTTGGCGAAGCCTAATTTCTTTGAGGTGAATGTGACAGTTGAGATGTCTTGGGAAGGTGGGGATTACATTCAACATGTGATGTGGCAGATGGTCGTAGCTGCAACTTGAAAAAGATCATTACACATATTTACCGCAAATCATTACAAAAGTGATAAAACTATCATCACTATTGTGATTCTATACTACATCTAAAAAGTACTAATATATATATCAAAATAATCACATGATCAGTATTAAAATAATCAAAATAGTGATATATATATATATATATATATATATATATATAGGCTATGTCTAAAAACCTCAAGAATGTATATATATATATATATATATATATATATATATACATACATACATTAATGTCAAGTCATGTCTAGAGACTTTTTGCACATAAGTGCATATTTGGAAATTAAAGGTTGTAGCCTATGTCCTTTAGGGTTCCTCAAACTAAATGAATGCCAAAAGAAATGAATTACTTTATTAAAATGTTTTATTGCAAGGATGAAATTAGCAGATTTGTCTTTGGCTCAAAGCTGCACATCTAAATTAGTGATGGAGAAATAAGATACACTTTCTGTCACGGACCATTTAACCTAAAAGTGGCCAGTCATTAGCTCAGACAGGAAAGGTCAAGTCACTGATATGAAAACCTAAATGCTGCTTGTCTACATAAAAGAAAATTGAAAGTGACTGCAATACTGAAGAGTAAGTCATGTCAAAAATATACCAAACAGCCTTCTGCTTATCATCATGCAAGTCAACAGCAAACAAACTAGAGATTAAGGCCATCTATAAGCAGATAATGTATATCACCAATTGGTGTACGCCTCCTAAACACATGCTTTAAAAATCAATTGATTTTCTCCTTTCACAGACAGTTCACATCCGCGTGTGTTTACCATTTGATATTCCGCACAGCCATGCATCTTGAAATCTATCATAAAGTTCAATAGCTCACTGGTGCTGCAATTGACTTGGACAGGCAATCACGTGACTGCATCAGCCAATAGGAGATGACGCCTGTGTTTCCTTCAGTGCTGTCATACCTTTCAGTTATTTGAGAATTGATGACAGCCTCTCATGTGGCTCATCACTGTCTCTCACATCTGAGGAGAGTATTGAGTTTCATCAGTTCCGTCCAGTGCATTTCTGTCACATGATAAGAAATATAAAGAGAGATCACTATGAAGTAATATGTTTCAACCCTTAAATAGACAATATCATGTTAAAATGTAGACTAATTCCTCTTCTGATTCTCCAATAATATGGTTACACTTTGATTTATTGTGACCTATAAAAGACTTTACAATGAAAGTTGGATAAAAATCAAACCAGATTTGATCTTTGCTCATTTTGTTCAACAAAAGAAAGTAAGACAAAGGTTTGTAACAGCACAAGGATGAGAAAAATTGTAATTCAAATTTGGGGTGAAAAATAACTTTTAGGGGGAAAATATATGTGTGTAATCAAAGAAAATATGTCACATAACAGAGATTTTCTAAGACAAAGCCATAAATGTGACAAAGCCTTATTCACAAGCATCTTTTCAACACATTTAAAACTGAGCACCATAATCATAAATTTTTATATATAAGCTCTAGCCTCTTCTTAAGTTTACTGACATAGAAAGGTAATATTCAGCAGCAGATGATGTTCCTGATCTCATCAAACACACAAAACCTCCAAATCCAGTCAACACAATAATCCCTAAAAATTCTAATTTGTTTTTAGCTGCTGTTCATTAAATCGACTGCCTTGAGGGCAAATATCACACCATGAGAGACCTTGTCACCATTGTTAATGAAAGCAAACTGGCCTGCTAATGATAATGATGACAAATTGAAGATCCGCCTAGTGCCTTGGGATCTGGTCTTCTAAATTAGGATTAGTCAATAAACATGCTTCCAATATGTCTTCTCACGAATCAAAAATATTGGTTACTGTAACTGGTAGGCGGCAAATTATTTCCCCTGGTTTATTTACAGTAACATCATTAGCATACCAGGGGGATGTATTGGATAAAATGATATGCCTTTGTGGATGAAACTCATTGAGGCTGTCTAGGAGACAGAGACAGCTCTGATTTAATTTGCTCATACCGTCTAAACAGATATTAATAGCAGGATTCAATTAATTAGATGCATTTAATTCTTAAATATGGTAAGATATTTTGATCTATTGGTATTAAATGGAATACATCAAATCAAGCGTGGCTCTGAAAGCATGTTCATGACAGATTGTTCCAATTAATCGTGACATAACATCAAATAAATACAAAGAAAATGAATTTGCTTTGCAACAAATCACTCTCTGCGATGTTGAGGATTAGTAAGTTCTTGCATCCAAAATGCATTCAATGGTAATCCGAATCACAGCTAAAAACTGATGATGATTGCGTCATAGCAGATCATTGAGCTTAAGCTAATACACACAGCAAATGAGAAATTAGTTCTGAATGGATTCCACAGCCACAAATGTCCCTCAGATCATCACTTTGAATGGCCTGTATACACACTTCAGTAAATATACCTTAGGCTGCATCCGAAATTGCTTTCAAATTAAGTATCATAAGAGAGTATGCGATTTCAGACACGGCCAATGTTTCTATGCCAATATTATTCTTTGTGCCAAAAAAATAAAATAAAAAATATGCCAAATTTAGTACCCATTGGTCATGAAATATGTTTAATGGGTAGGATAGCTAGGATAGGTGTGAAAAATTACGCAGCAAGACTTTCGTTCATCTTCGGAACACAAATGAAGATATTTTTGATTCAATCTGAGAGCTGGATCAGTCCTCCATAGGCTTTTAAGGGATTGAAACTTGCTGGCCCAGAAAAGTTATTAAAGACAACGTCAAAATAGTCAAAGTGACTGGCTCAATCATAAGTTTATCAAGTGTCAAGAATACTTTTTGGTTGTACGTCACACGCATGCTATGCAGTATATTTTAATTTACCAATAAAAATATTTTTGCACAAAAGGACAAAAAGGGTCACCAGCATTTCCAAATCCAATGATCTAACCTAAACTCAATGGCTGTGTCCGAAATCTCCCACTACTCACTATATAGTGGACTATAGTGATGACTATAGTATAGTGATGATTTATACCCTATATGGTCCACTCAATGTATCCCAGAATGTATTTTGAAAAGTAGTGTACAACGGATGGTCACTCACTACCCCAAGCCCTACATACCATCATGCTTTGTGCTGATCATAAAAAAGACGGACAGGCAATGACGCAAGAGACGATCGAGTAGTGTCCGAAAGTGGTGTTTCTATTATGCTGGTGAGCTCACTATATAGTGCTCTACTCCCTACCCCCTACATAGGAGGTAGGGAGTAGTGGTTTGAGTGGAGATTTCGGACACAGCATATGATTTGCAAATATTTTCCTAAACCTTATCTTGAAACTGAATGGTTAGATTATAGCCAGTTGTTCCTGTGGTCCTCAACTACTGGCCAAACAATAGTGGAATGACTGTTCCATTTTTTTTTTTTTACACAATAAGCAACATTACAGAGCTCAGGCAAACAATGTTTATTTTGCATAACTTTGCACATGTGCTGTCCAAAGACAGGAGTTTAAACCTGATTCCCCGCCCCCCAAGACACTTCATACAACTTCAAGGAATATTTCGTAGTGAAAAGTACGTCATGTGTGAAACAAAAACAAACAAACCAAAAAAAAAAAAAGGAATGCTGATGGAATTTATCATTTATTACCATAATTTCAAGCTAATCACAAATTATTTTAATGAGTCATTGCCAGACCAACAGAAGATCCTATTGGATAAACTTAAATTCTATGCGTGAAAATAGGAATTTCAGTGTATCCAGGACTCTTTATTAAAATACGTTAATTCCAAATTCCCATAAAAACAACCAGCATTCCTTAATTGTTTGACTAGGTAAACTGCAAATAGGCTATGTAACGGCCGCACTTTATTTAACTTCTAAATACTGATCAGGAATAGTAAAGGTTTTGGAGTGTTTCTTCTGTTCACCTATCACATAGTCCACATGGATGCATATGTGTCTAGAATTCTCCTCTGAGGGATACAAACTGATCTCCCCCTCAACATTAGTGTCCTGCATCACATCCACAGCATCGTCCAGATACAGCACAGCCTGCTTCCAGTGCGTCTCTGGTTTAAATGGAGATGTGGAGAGCACCAGGGCCTTCTCCTCAGCGGGGAAAGTCACGGTGAACCACACGCACAAGGCGTGAATGGAGGACGAGCCGAAACACTGGCAGCGAAACACTCCCCTCACATCTCTGAGCTGCTCGAGTGTGACTGTGTTCAAATCCAGCTCGGCAAACTTGCACGGGTGGGAGAGCACATCCTCCACCGTCACCGGATTCACAGTGATGTCTTTGTTCATGATGCACTTCCTGGCAAAGTCGGTCATGCAGGACATGTCCACGCCGTACTGTCCTTTAACGGTGCTCCAAAAATTCAATCTGCCCTCCACCACCAGATCGTTTATGGGAGCGATGTAAAGATCCGCCCGGGACGGTAATATGAGGCCACCGGGTTTGAGCCACTTATCCCGGGCATAAATCACAGAGTTCAGCATGGATTCGTGGAGGAGCGCGTAGCCCATCCACTCGCTCACAATCACGTCCACCTGTTCGGCTAGTTCGATCGTCTCTAGTGTAGCTTTAATGATTTCTATTCTGTCCTCCATCTGATTCAGTTTTACGATTCTCACAGCCTGATCGGCAATCGAGCTCGCTTCGACTGCATAAACCTTCCTGGCACCCGCTTGTGCACAGAATAAGCTCAAGACGCCGGTACCGGCTCCCACATCAAGCACCACTTTCCCCTCTATTGACTTACTGTTTTTAAGAATGCCCATTCTGTACGCGTTCGTGCGCACAGTGTCTGCAATCATCTCTTCGTGAATGGTGACATCGGAGTAGCTGTCAAAGTACATGTAATCCTCTGTACTCCGGTCTAGTTTTCTTTTCTTAGTACCGTGCTGTGACATTTTCCCCAAGTTTGCCATGCGTATTTAATTTTCTCCCAAGTAGCTTCCGTTTCTGAAACGCTGCTCGAAAGGCATCATGGGACGTGTAGTTTTTAAACGTTACCTTGTTCGTCGAATAGAACGTCAATTGGTTTAAAAGTTAACTACACTTCCCATGAGTAGACATATGTCGTTAAATAAAAACGCATTTTTTTCCATTAAAAATGAATGTAGTGAATGATATTATAACATGTCCCTATTCACATTTTTGGTAGCTTTCTTTGCTATAAATAAAAAAAGTTATAATGTGACACTTAAATCTGTCACAGTTAAATGTGCCATCTCCCTTCAAAACAACCACATGGAAAGAGACAATTCATAAATAAACTACTGGAAACATTGAATAGGCTACAAGTACATCAAGTAACTGTACTAATCTATCAGAAATTCCTGATATGCAAGATGAATGTACTAGCCTAGCACTTGTTTATCACAACATATCCATGGGGTACTTAAGTTAATACTGCATTCTGGCCCACACAAATAAGTGGATTAAGCATGATAAATTCTCATATTTTTTTACAGTGAGTGTTAGCATTGCTGTCTGCCCGTTTGGCAGAAGTTCCGGGACAGCTGTTTAAACTGACTGTGCCCAGCTGCAGCCCTACTAACATAACACCAGGGCTCCGTCTGAGCCAAACTGCATTTTCCACCATGACGGATAGCATGATCTGCTTTTAACCTTAATAAAATAGCTCTGCCTCACCCTGGGCCGTCACTCTCTCCGTGCACGCTAAAGGCTACACACTGACAGCAGGCTATTCCTCTTAAATACAGTGTGTTTTATGATTTCTTCTGCTTTATCTATGGTGATAAATGTTCATAGTTGGATTATAAGATCCCTTTTTTTCAGCATTGTCCTCAGGTTGAACTCATGGAGTAGGAAATCATAGGCCATGGATGCACATTCTTTATCTACCTTTTAATAAATGACACCTACACAGATTTACTTTAACAGAAAATTAAAATATCACAGAAGGACAATGCATAAACATGCAAGGCAGGCAACTTTTCCGTTTAGCTTGAGGTGAAAAAATATGGAGTAGAGTGTCACTAAACTTAATTTCATTAAGTGTAGTGACTACACAATGTTTACACGGTACAATGACTACTGCACATCCTCCTTTTTTAAGCGAAACACCCACATGTGAAAATCCGAATCAATAACCGATACATAGAACCAAGTCCCCACTCTACATTTTTTTCTTTTTTGATAGAAAAATGTGCATAACAATACAGAGGGAAAAAAACTGTCTCTTCGGATTCATTGCGACTTTAAAGTGAATATGAAATCAAAATTGACCCTATTTACTTTCTTAATGCACGTTACTGGTCTTATTGTGAACGATGCATCTATGCAAAAGGTCATACAGGCTATTAGGTAGCTAAAGAAGTAGTTCACTTTAAAAAAAAAAAAAAAAAAAAACTTTTGCTGATAATTTACTCGCCCCCATGTCATCCAAGATGTCCTTGTCTTTCTTTCTTCAATCGAAAAGAAATTAAGGTTTTTGATGAAAAACATTCCAGGATTTTCTCCATATAATGGACTTCAATGGGAACCAAATGGTTCGAGGTTCAAATGAGAGTGCAGTGCAGCTTTAAAGGGCTTTAAACGACACCAGACGATGAATAAGGGTCTTATCTGGACCCTTCGAGTCATGACTCGAAAAAAGATTTGTTCATTTTGATGAACGAGTTCGAACAGGAGAGTCACAAACGCTCATCACAGAACAGAGCAAGGCAGTGTTGTAGTACTCGAGACTCGGACTCATCTCGGACTCGGTCTCGAAACCATATTTTAATGGTCTTGGTCTTGTCATGGACTCGTGTGCATTTGGACTCGGAATTGACTCGTACTCGAACATTTTTTTTTTTAGGACTCGGAATTATTCCCGAGTCCACTCGAGTTCAATTAAAAATATTTTTCATGATTATTAATGTATGTTAATAAAATATTTCTTTAAATTGATTGACACGCCCAGTGATTGGTGATTTTCTAGTGCGCAACTGCGCATGACAAATTGTAATAAAATTACTTTTAACACCACCTACTATGTGGCCTTTTTACCCTAAACTGATCATATTTTTTTAAACTCTAAGTAAATTCAGTAAAAAAAAAAAAAAGAAAAAAAAAAGGATTTCTCTAAGTAAATAAAAGTAAATTAGGTAATCAACCCTTCTCGGTCTCGACTCGGACTCGACCGTCTCTGGTCTCAGACTCGACTCTCTTTGGACTCGGTCTTGACTCGGACTCGACTCTCTCTGGTCTCGGTGTCGACTCGGACTCGAGTGAGGTGGTCTCGACTACAACACTGGAGCAAGGCGAGCATTTGTGCTTATAAAACTTAAACTTTTTTATTTATTTTTTTAAATGACCGATCGTTTCGCTAGATAAGACCCTTATTCATCGTCTGGTGTCGTTTAAAGCCCTTTGAAGCTGCACTGAAACTCTCATTTGGACCTTGAACCGTTTGGTTACCAGTAAAGTCCATTATATGGAGAAAATCCTGGAATGTTTTCATCAAAAACCTTCATTTCTTTTCGACTGAAGAAAGAAAGACATGGACATCTTGGATGACATGGGGATGAGTAAATTATCAGCAAAAGTTTTTTTTTTTTTTTTTAAAGTGAACTACTCCTTTAACCACAATAGCTATGTAGGTATTGTTTCAGCAAACTAGCATTAAGCCTGGCTCCATTCTGGTAGGTAATGGTCAGTTTCCCCGTCCAATAATTTCTTGTCAACTTTGACTGTTTATTTTACTTGTAAATATGTCAAATAGAAGTAAAACATTATAGATATCTTCAAAAGGTATTGGAAATATTTTCTCATCCTTTTAAAAAGTTGATAAAGGTACCCCCCACACACACTTTTAGGTGTCAACCCACCCGTTGAGGAGAAGTGTATTAAAATGTGCTGTTTTGCAAATTTCCTTCTGTTTCTCTCTTTCAATATCTCCCTTGGGTAGTTTTGAGTCCTTGCAATGATAACAAAGAACTTCCACATCCCGTGAATGTTTTTACACATTCTGAAATGATTGAGGGGGAAAACTGTGTTTGCACAGACATTGGCACCTGATCTCGTTTTAATTAAAATTGCACATCACTGTTTGCCCATCTAAAGCACAGACTCTGAGCTGATTGGAAGGGGATGGACTGGCAATGAAGGAAAAGACTTTGCTCAGTGGCCCTGAAACATGTCTGGAAAACCTGAGATAATTTCAGAGCAGAAAGATGGTGGCTTCTGCAAAGGGAAGAGACTGGTTGTTCAAGCATGAGTGTAACAGCGGGAAACCAAATCATTTTGGACAATGAAGGATGTCCTGAAAACATTTGATAACACAGCTCAAACAGATTCTTCCTGGGTGGCTCATGTTGTTTCCAATCCGCCTGCCGAATCTTGTTTGGTTGGATCAGTTAAGGGTGAGGACATGTGATAAGTCTGCTGTAAGGATGAAACTAGAAGGGGAAGTTGCAATCACTGCAGCGTATTGGTGGTTTGATTCAGTTGTAGCAGTGCCAGTCTTCCGGCACGAATTTGATTCCTATCTGAAACAGCAAGCACATTAAAATCTTTGGAAGCAACCTGTCGAACAGTCAGAGAAAATGTTTCTTTCAGTTAAATAAAACAATAATGTTTTCTTCTTTTTTGACCTCTTTTGAGAGGATTTGTACATATTGTACAAATGCAGTATTTTTAACAAACTTTTTTATCGGGAAAAACATGCCTCTACTTATTTTTTTTTTTTGCAAAACTCCCAAAAATTAAATACAGACCGAATACAATGATTAGACGAACATTATATATATATATACGTATATATATATATATATACGTTTAGACCACTTAACTATCAGGAAGTGAAGGGACATTCAACCAGCATAACAAAAAAATTTTCTAGAACAAATCACCTATATACTAATCTAAAATGGCATAGTTTCTTCCGCAAATGCATTTTTTATGTTTGATGTTTGATTTTGTTAACACAATCTTTTAGGTTTATAGTAGGTTTAGGTGGTAGGTCTACTCTACATTATTTTCAAATTCTATTTACAGCATTAACCTTTAAAGTAGTTCACTTTTTAAAAAACTTTTTCTGATAATTTATTCACCCCCATGTCATCCAAGATGTCCATGTCTTTCTTTCTTCAGTCGAAAAGAAATGCAGGTTTTTGATGAAAACATTCCAGGATTTTTCTCTATATAATGGATGTCAATGGGAACCAAACACTTCAAGGTCCAAAAGACAGTTTCAGTGCAAACTGTTCAAAGGGCTTTAAACGATTTCAGACGATGAATAAGGGTCTAATCAAGCAAAAAGATCGCTCATTTAATTTTTTTTTTTAAAGTTTTATAAGCTGAAATGAACAAATCTGAATCTTCCTGAGTCAACTCATTCATTTCATTGGTTAAACTAAACGACACGAAAAAAGATTTGTTCAGTAGAGTCAGGAGAGTCACGAACGTGCATCACAGAACAGAGCAAGGCGATCATTTGAGCTTATAAAACTTAAACTTTATTTATTTATTTTTTTTAAATGAGCTATCGTTTTGCTAGATAAGACTCTTATTCATCGTCTGAAATCGTTTAAAGCCCTTTGAACAGTTTGCACTAAAACTGTCTTTTGGACCTTGAACCGTTTGGTTCCCATTGAAGTCCATTATATTAGAGAAAAATCCAGGAATTTTTCATCAAAAACCTTAATTTCTTTTTGACTGAAGAAAGAATGACTACAAGTACTACGAGATTCATGTTGATCTGTTTGAAATAAAACTGAGCACGTTTTAATTCTCCTTATTTGCGTGTTGCAACCAGTTTCACAATCAGTAACGATTTAAAAACTCCTTTAGTCTGAGCCACCTCCGGAGGTGAACCTAGAAATCCGTACAAACCAAAGATGACTGTTAAAATTTTATGAAATCACACTTTCATTCAAGTCTATTTCAAAATATGTGCATGTGTGTCTTACTTCTCTTGCCAGTTGCTGTCGGATTTTGTGTGCCTATGGGGAAATCCTA